TCATCCTCGTCGTCGTCGTCGTCGTCGTCGCCGTCCGCCGTCGCCGTCGCCGTCCCCGTCGACGCCGCCGCCGTTGGCGTCGTCGTCGTCGTCGTTCTCGTCTTCGTCGTCATGCCCTAGATCCCCCTCCCACAACTTCCCCTCCTCCCCCTCTTCCGCATCCGCCTCCACCTCCGCCTGCTCCTTCCCCGCATCCATCCACTTTCCTCATGAATAACTTCTGCCTGTCGCATTCCCAAGCGTGTCGGTTGGGCGGGCCGGACGTTTCGCTTGGGATTTCCTCACAATGTACGACCCCGCAGCTTAGAACTTGCATCAGCTTCACGGAGGGAGGGCGGGTGGTTTCGAACATGTGGCTCTCGTCTTAGCGCCGCGCACATTCGTCATAAAAGTTCGCAACAGTATGACAGATTGAGCGCGGGAGCCTTTCAACATGTAGCTCTCGCCTGAGCGTCGCGCATACTCGTCTTAAAAGTGCGCAACGGTTCTAAAGATGGAGGGCGGTCTCTTTTGAAAATGTGGCTCTCGCCTTAGCACCGTGCACATTCGTCGTACAGCTCACAACGGCTTCAAATATTGAGAGAGGCTCCTTTTCAAAATGTGGCTCTCGCCTTAGCGCCGAGCACATTCGTGTTAGCAGAATACAACCATTCCAAGGGTCCGTATGGTTGAAGTCCCAGGACTGGCGTTCTGGCCTGATGAGGGATTGTCACGACGCAAACGTCGCGTTGGATCGCTGTGCTCGAGCCCCAGGAATGATGACCTGGTACGACAAATTAGGACCGCAAAGACGTACCAGTCACGTTTATTCCAGGCACTGGAGTCTCAGCGCTGATGTGCTGGTACGATTAGGGACTCTCATATGGTTATCTTCAAATGGGGCTCTTCCCGCAATTCCACTATTTTTCTGTAGCAGCCCATGAGAAAGGGAAACTTGGAGGAAAGGTTTATAGCAACATCGTTGCTGCGCCTTGGGTTTTCACTGGTCCTCCTCCTCCCCTTCCTCCTCCTCCTCCGCCGCCTCCGCCTCCGCCTCCCCCTCCTCCGAGCCCGCCGCCCCCCACAACGGATACCCCCGACCGCACCGCTCCTCTTCGGCAGCCTTTTGGCGCAGAGCTTCGGAGCCGACGGCGCTCTCCTTCTCCTCGTCCTCATAGTAGGCCTGCTGCTGGGACCGCTCGAGGGAAGGAGCAGCCCTTCGGCGCAGAACTTCGGGGCTGACGGCGCTCTCCTTCTTCTCGTCCTCGTAGAGGGGCTCCTGCTGGGTCCGCTTGCGGGCAGAGGGGCTTCCGACGAGACGCACCCTTGAAGGAGGGCCAAGCCGCGAGGTTCAGCAGGGTCCGCATCGGGGCGTCGGGACCTCCGCTGTCTCCTGTTCAACATTCCCGCTTTCTTATTATTTTTCTTCCTCCTCCCCTCCTCCTCCTCCTCCTCGTCCTCCTCCTCCTCCTTCTCTCGTCCTCCTCCTCTTCTTCCTCCTCTTCCTCCTCCGCATCCGCCTCCGCCTCCGTCCGCATTGGGGCACCATGCCCTTCCCATTATCCGAAGCGTCGTCCTCGCCCTCCTGTTCCTGCTCCTCCTCCTGTGTTCCCGTCCTCCTCCTCATCAGAATCACAAACATCAGCATCATCAGCATCACCACCACCACCACCATCATCATCATCATCATCATCATCATCATCATCATCATCATCATCAGCATCATCATCATCATCATCATCAGCATCATCATCAGCATCAACATCTTCAGCAGCAGCATCAGCATCAGCATCACCAACGATTGCCACCACCACCGTCGCCATCGTTATCGTCAGCATCATCCACACAGTCATGATCCGCATCATCACATGCATAAAACATCATCATTATCATCATCATCATCATCATCATCATCCTCATCATCATCATCATCATTACCAGCATCGTCATCATCAGCATCATCGACATCACCATCACCACCACCATCACTACCACCATCATCATCATCACCATTAGCATCATCAGCATCCGCATCAACATCAACGTCATCATCATCTTTATCATCCTTATCATCGTCATCAGCATAATCCGCATCATCATCATCATCAGCATCATCAGCATCATCATCATCATCAGCATCATCATCATCATCGTCATCATCATGATCATCATCATCAGCATCATCATCATCATCATCATCATCAGCATCATCATCATCATCATCATCATCATCATCATCATCATCATCATCATCATCATCATCATCCGTAGCATCATCATCATAACTATCAGCATCAACATCAGCATCAGCAGCATCCCAAACGTCGTCGGGATCCTCCTTATCATCGCCAGCAGCAGCAGCGGTATCAGCAGCGGCATCCGCATCCTAATCATCACCATCGTCATCATCCCCTAACTCCTCCTCCCCTGGTGTCCCCTCCTCCCCCTCCTCCGCACCTCCCTCCGCCTCCACCTGCTCCTTCCCTGCCTCCACCTCCTTGCCTTATGAACAGCTCCTCCTTGTTGCACCCCCAGGCGTGGCGGCAGGGCAGGCTGGGCGTATCGCTTGAGACTTCCGCACCAGTTAGGATACATGAGCTTCAAATCTGCAACAGTTTCACGGATGGAGGGCGGGTCGTTTTGAAACTGTGGCTTTCGCCTTAGCGCGAAAAGGTTTGCAACAGCCCCGCTGATTGAGAGCGTGCGGTGTTCAAAAATATGGCTCTCGCCCTTGGCACCGTGCACAGTTGTCTTACAAGTCAGAAGCAGGTGTTCGGATTGAAAGCGGTCCCTTTTCAAAATCTGGATATGGTCTTAGTGCCGCGCGCATTTCTCTTAAAAGTGCGCAACAGCTTCAAACATAAAGGGTGGTTGATTGTCCAAATGTGGCTCTCGGCCTTGGCGCGGCGCACATCCGCCTTAGAAGGTTGTAGCAGTGCCAAGGATACGTATGGCTGCAGTCCCAGGAATGCTGTCCTGGCGCGACAAGTAAGAACTGTCAGGGCGCAAGCGTCACGCTGGATCGCTGTGCTCAAGTCCTGGGGATGTTGTTCTGGCACTGTTTAGGACTGTCAGAACGTACCAGTCACATTGACCTCAGGCAGCAAAGCCGCAGCAATGATATGTTGGCGCGGTCGAAGATTCTCAAACGGATTTCTTCGAACTTGGCAATTCCTGCAATGCCAATACATTACGTAGGGGTCTGTGGGAAAAACGAACTTGGAGGAATGGTTGCTTGCAACATCGTTGGTACGTCTTGGGTTGACACTGGTCTTCCTCCTCCTCCTCATCGTCATCCTCCTCACTCTCGTCCTGGTCAGCATCATCGTCATCATCATCAGCAGCATCATCAGCATCAGCATCATCATCATCACCATCGCCACCATCGCATCAGCATCACCGCCACTATCCTTATTATCATCACCATACTCATCAGCGGCAGCGGCCGCATCACCACCTCCACTATCAGCAGAATTAGCATCAGCATCAATAGCACAATCGTCATCACCATCGTCACCACCACCACCACCTGATAATGTTCATCATCAGCAGCATCATCGTCGCCGTCGTCGTCGTGGTCGTCGCCATCATCATACTCATTATCAGCATCATCATTAGCAACATCAGCAGCATCACCGTCGTCACCATCACCAACAGAATCGTCATCGCCAAGATCGTCGTCATCGCCATCGCCATCGCCATCATCATCATCAACATCATCATAATCATCAGCATCATCATGATCATAATCATAATCAGCATCACCCTTATCATCGTCATCGTCAATGTCGTCGTCAACAACATCATCATTACCATCATCAGCAGCATCATCTTCACCACCACCATCATTATCATCATAAGCATCAGCAGCATCAGCATCATCAGCATCATAATCGTCATCATCATCATCCTCGTTGTCACTGCCATCATCAGACATCGTCGTTATCATCCCAATCATCATCCTTACAAGCATCATCATCATCACCGTCATCATCATCAGCAGCAGCATCATCACCATCATCATCATCATCATTATCATCATCATCACCGTCGTCATCATCATCGCAACCATCGTCATCACCACCAGCATCACCATCATTATTATCATCAGCAGCATCCTCATCATTCTCATCATCACCATCAGCATTAGCATCAACATCACTTCTTCCTCATCACCATCGCCATCGCCATCGCCATCGCCATCATCATCATCATCATCATCATCATCATCAGCATCAGCATCATCATCATCATCATCATCATCATCATCATCATCATCATCATCATCATCATCATCATCATCATCATCATCATCATCATCATCATCCCCTGGCTCCTCCTCCCCAGCCAGGTGCCCCCCGTGGGAGTCGTGTGCCAGGGGGTCCGTCTCCCCCCCGTCGTGTCGTCGCCGTCGCTGTCGCGTCTGTCCTGTCGTGGCGGGCCCCTGGGGTGGGTGGCGTGGGTTTGTGGCCCCTGCCCGCTCTGTCGGTGGTCGGGTGCTTCCGGCCGGCAAAACGGGTCGGGGGAGCTGGCTTGCCATTCCCATGCCGCCCGCTTGCGGGGGGCCCGCCCGCGCCGTGAGCGCCCCGCGGCCCGCGGCACGCCGCGGCCGCGGCGGCGCGCGCGGCGCCCCTGGGCATGCTCGCCCGCGCCATGTTCGGCGTTTTGTTTTACCCCTTGCGGGCAAAACAAAAACGGCTTCTCCTCCTCTCCCTCCTCCGCCTCTTCCTTATCCTTCTCCTCCTCCTCCTCCTCCACCCTATCGTACCCCAAGGCCGGTCGGAAGGGCGGGCCAGGCGCTTCGCCTAAGAATTCCTCACCATTTATAACCCTGGCGCAAATGGCAAAAGTTTCACAGCGGGTCGTTGTTTAATTGTGGCTCTCGCCTGAGCGTCGCGCACGTTCGTGTCAAAAACTTGAAAGAGTTTCGCGGGTTGAGGGCGGTTCGTTTTCAACATGTGACTCTCGCGTTAGCGCCGCGCACACTCCTTCTACAAAATACAGGAGGTTCACGGATTCCCATGGTCAACTTGCCAGAAATGGCGTTTGGGAAAGATTCAGGAGTGTGAGGGTGCAACATTTACGTTGGTCCTCCTCCTCCGCCTCCGCCTCCGCCTCCGTCTCAGCCTCCGCCTCCGCCTCCGCCTCCGCCTGCGCCTGCTCATTCCCCGCCTCCTCCTCCTCCTCCTCCTCCTCCTCCTCCTCCTCCTCCTCCTCCTCCTCCTCCTCCTCCTCCTCCTCCTCCCTTCTCCTCCTCCTCCTCCTCCTCCTCCTCCTCCTCCTCCTCCTCCTCGTCCTCCTCCTCCTTCTCCTCCTCCTCCTCCTCCTCGTCCTCCTCGTCCTCCTGCTCGTCCTCGTCCTCCTCCTCCTCCTCCTCCTCCTCCTCCTCCTCCTCCTCCTCCTCCTCCTCCTCCTCCTCCTCCCCCTCCTCCTCCTCCTGCGCCTCCGCCTCCGCCTCCGCCTCCGCCGAACCTCCTCCGCATCCTCCTCCTCCTCCGAACCAGTCGGCCCCCACCCTCGGCACCCCCGGCCGCACCGCTTTGGCCCTCCCGCTGGCGCTCCTCGCCGTGCACCACCGCCGCGGCCGCCGCCGCCCCGCCCCCGACGCGCGCCGTGGCGGCGGCCGCTGGCGGGATCGCTAGCGGCGGCGCCGGCTCGGCAGTCTGCTCCAGGGCCTTCTTGGCGGTGTCGGCCACCGCGGGCGCCTGCCCTGGCGGAGCAGACTGTGCCTGCCCGGGCTGCCTGCTGCAAGCCCTGGCGCACGCGTAGTCGTTCGGGACGAGCCCTGGGGGCGGACCGCCATGCAGGAAGTTCTGGAATTCCTCGAAGCTCGAGTCCTTCGTGAGCGACGGGAAGCGCTCAGGGTGGGCCGCGATGCCCTCGCGCATGGCCCACGTCACCTTCTTGAAGCACTCGTCGCCCTCTACGGCCGTGTGGCACGCGTCCGCGCACGGCCTGCGACACGCGCCCCCGACCTGCTTGCTCAGGACCTCCTGGAACTCCCGGAAGCTGGAGTTCTCGCCCAGGCCCGGGTACCACTCTGGGTGTGCCTGGATGCCCCGCTGCATCGCCCACACGACCCCCTCGAAGCAGGCGTCGCCCCTCCTGGCAATGCGGCACGGCTCTGCGGCCTCTGAGCCGACCCGTCCGGGCGCGGGCAGGGACGCCTGGCCGCGGCGGGCCCTGTCGGCAAGGGGCCCCCGGCGGGCGCACGGCTTCCGGCAGATGCCGGCGAACTTCTTCATTCCGTGCAGGTGCTCCTGGACCTCCTCGAAGGTGGAGCTCGTGGTCAGCGGCTTGAAGCTCTCGGCGTGCTCTTTGATGCCGTGCTTCATCGTCCAGCGGACCTTCTGGTGGCACGGGGAGCCTCGGATGGCGCGGCCCTGGCCTCCTGCCCGGCCGACCCAGAGGTGGCCCCAGGAGTGCGGCGGGGCACCAGGGACGAGGAGGCGGGATACGCAGAGGGAGGACCTGAGCCCACGTCACCGGTGCGGCAGCACACACCCACGTGCCATGACCCCTCCACGGAAGTGGCCCCAGAAGGGTTGGATTTGGCAGAGCCCTATACTGCAAGGTCATAACAATTCCTATCATCCTAAAGCTTCAGGGCGATGGATTCACGGCGAAGCCTTAAGGTTTGCTGCGAAGACTTAGGAGCATTGGGAGGTTATCACACTCTCGACTGATCAATCATCTTCGACTGGATACGGTCAGGAACTTTTGCTTAGCGTGTCTCCGAGGCCGCCCCGACGAGACGCTAGCCCTGCAAGCGGATAGGGTGTCGCCCCGCTCCGCGGGGCGCGGGAGGCTGGGAAGCGCTTGGAGAACGGGACGTGCTTCGCAGAAGCGTGGTGGGCCAGAGCTGGCGCAGAGACACGCGAAGCACAAGCTCCCGACCCCAATGTAGCGGCCCGACCGCACGATCGGCTCCCCAAGGCCAGGCGGCCGCGACTGAGCCAGTGCTTCGCGTGTCGCGCCGAAGCGTAATGGGCCAGAACCAGCGCAGCGACACGCTGAGCACAGGTTCATCATTGCAGCCCTCCTCCTCCTTCGCCTCCCCCTCCTCCTTCTCCTCCTCCTCCTCCTCCTCCTCCTCCTCCTCCTCGTCCTCCTCCTCCTCCTCCTCCTCCCTTTCCTCCTCCTCCGCCTCCTCCTCCTCCCTCATCCTCCCTCCTCCTCATCCCGACCGTAATGTACAGCGGCCCGACCGCCCGCACGACCGGCTCGCCCGGGCCAGGCGGCCGCGACTGAGCCCGGGCGCCAGTCTCGGCGGTGAGGCACGCCGACGCACCTGGGGCGCGGGCGGCCCGCAAGACTGGCGGCGGTCACCCTGGAACGCCCGCGGCGGGTGGTCGCCGCTGCGCCGACACGACGCGAGCAAGCGTAGCTTGGGAAGAGCCCCACGCTCCGAAGGTTCTGCTGGAAGCTGGCCGAGCGGGTGCGGGTCCCAGAGGTCCAGCTCGCGAGGGGAGCTGAGACTCTGGCACGGGAGACCAGAATCGAGTCGAGAAGTCGGATCGGCGGTGGAAATGACTCGGATCGGCGGAACTCGGCAGCCGAGTCGGGAGAAGCCGAGAATCGGAGGAAATCGGCAGGCTAGCGAATGCCCACTGGAAAATCGGAAGCCACATCGGACTCCGAAGCCGAATCGGATTGCAATCGGAGGCCATCGAAACCGAAGCCGAAGCGAGTCGGAGGAGCCGAGGCGAGCCCTGCCTCACCGGGGCCGCCCGCCCCTGCTCGCGCGGGCCCCGCAGGAAAGAGCGGCCGAGCGGGCCCTGGGCCTCGAAGGTGCTGCCCGGACACCCCCGGCAACGCGCGCGCGAGCAGGGGGCCACATGCGAACCCTACGCCCCACGCCCCTACGCGCGCGCGCGCCACGCCCCACGCCCCTACGAACCCACGCCCCACGCCACATGCGAACCCTACGCGCGCGCGAGTAGGGGGCGCCCTGCGCCCCACGACTTCTGAGGGGGAGGGTGGGGTTCACTTCGCTCGGGAGCTCCCGAGCGGAACGAACCCCACCCTGCCCCTCAGAAGTCGTGGGGGGGGGGGGCCAGGGTTCGCGTGTGGCCCCCTAGCGAGGCGGGTGGGCGCGAGGGGGGCGGCCTCCTGACGCCGGGGGGGTGAGGGAGACAAGGGGACGCCTCGAGACGAGAAGGGAGGGGCACAGACTCCGGGGAGATCACGGGGGGCCCGCCGCGAGACCCACGCTGACCGGCCTCGAGCCGATCCCTGCCCCTGCGATCGGCAAGGCAGAAGCGATGACAATCTTGGGGATGTGCCCCCAGGAGCTGAGGGAACCCTTCAGATCGGCATCGTCCTCCTGGTGATGCCAATCATGGGGATGGGGATCGTTTAGCTGGTAACGGTAACACGCCCCTCCCTGGTCCTCACCCCCCTCCTCTTGGCCGCCCCCTTGGACGGGCACCCACGACGGAAGACCCCGAGCCGCCCGGGTCAGGGCAGCGAGATCTGTACGCAGCCGCTGCCCCAGACCTGGCCCATCCCTGGGCCCAGGAGCAGTGCACGTGACAACGCCTCCCTGGCCAGACCCCCTCGGGCCATGAAAAGTTCACGATGGGGCGTGTTCCTCTGGGAGCCCTTCCCGTGCCTCGGGACCGTCCAAACCAGGCTCAGCATGAGAAACTGGTCCCCGGGAATGGGTCCAGACCTCTGGGGTCGACGTCATGAAAAAATCACGACGTTGGGGGCCTGGGTGGCCAGCCCAGGAGGGCGTGTACACCGCTCCTGGGCCCAGGATGGGCCATGCCTGGGGCAGTGGGCAGCAGATCCCGTGGGACGCGTCGTGCCTGGGCTCCTGCAGCCCCTCGCCCTGGCAGCGCACTGGGCCGAGAGGCACCCAGGACGGGGGCGGGACGGCCCCCGTCGTCGTCGTCGTCGTCGTCGTCGTCATCGTCGTCGTCGTCGTCGTCGTCGTCATCATCGTCGCCGTCGTCATCGCCGACGCCGTCGCCTTCGCCGTCGCCGCCGTCGCTGTCGCGGTCGACACCGCCGCCGTCGAGGCCTTCGGCGGCCCTCGCCGGCCTTTCGGCGGCCCTCGCCAGCCTTTCGGCGGCCCAGGCAGCGGAGGTCGGCCGCAGCCGACGCAACCGCCACCGTCGTCGCCGTCGTCGTCGTGGTCGTCGGCGGTGACGGCAGCGGCGGCGGGGCGGCGGCGGCGCCAGCGTCATCGCCGTCGTCCTCGTCGTCGTCGTCGTCGTCGTCGTCGCCTCCGCCGCCGCCGTCGTCCTCGTCGTCGTCGCCGTCGTCGTCGTCGTCGTCGTCGTCATCATCGTCGCCGTCGTCATCGCCGACACCGTCGCCGTCGCCGTCGCCGTCGCCGTCGCCGTGTTCGTCGCCGTCGCTGTCGCCGTCGTCGTCGTCGTCGTCGTCGTCGCCGCCGCCGCCGCCGCCGCCGTCGTCGTCGTCGTCGTCGTCGTCGTCGTCGTCGTCGTCGTCGTCGTCGTCGTCTCCGACGGCGGCGGCGGCGGCGGGCGGGCAAGATCTATACCCATATACACTGCGTCTTGGACTTTCTGGGAGGGGGCGCCAGAAGGCCGAGGCACAGTGGATGTGGACGAACGTCCGGCCTCCAGGGACCAGACTTGTATCCACATCCGCTACGCCTCTGGCTCCTGGGAAGGGGGACCCGAAACTCCGAGACGCAGCGGATATGGATAACCTCCTCCCCCTCCTCCCCCTCCCCCCTCCCTCCTCCCCTCTCTCCTCCTCCTCCTCTCCTCCTCCTCCTCCTCCTCCTCCTCCTCCTCCTCTCCTCCTCCTCCTCCTCTTCCTCCTCGTCCTCCTCCTCCTCGTCGTCCTTCTCCTCCTCCTCCTCCTCCCCCTCCTCCCTCCTCCTCCTCCTCCTCCTCCTCCTCCTCCTCCTCCTCCTCCTCCTCCTCCTCCTCCTCCTCCTCCTCCTCCTCCCTCCTCCTCCTCCTCCCCCTCCCCCTCCCCCTCCCCCTCCCCCTCCCCCTCCCCCTCCTCCGCGGGCGGCTCTGACCGCTGTCCGTCGAGT